CTAATTTATTTTTGATAATTAAAAATTATTTTTTTTTATGTCGTAAAAAATTCAACTAAAAGAATTTCAAATTTTTCATTTTTCTTCTTACTTTCGAATTTACAGCAGATTTTTTTTTTTTTGGAACTAACCAACGTCATTCCTCTGCTTTGTTCTGTCGAATTCATTTCAAAAAAAGACTTATTGGCGTCATCGCGGACTTTGTTCTCCCTTGTAATTTCAAAAAGCAAATGATTTTTAAAAAAATCGAAATTTTCTAGCAAAGAAGGGCCAAAGCCTACATCTTTCCCGGCTATGGATCAGGATATCCTGGATGAGTTGTCGCCATCCGATCGTAGTGACGGTCAGCGGCTTCGTCGACATCTGCAATTCTTCTTTATGGATCCGATGATGAAATGGCGTGTGCGGCATCAATTCCCGTTCAAATTGGCACTTCAAATTCTCAAAATAATTTTTATAACTATACAGGTAAAAGCGATATATTGCGCATTTTCATATATAGCCATATGAAAACGGTGTTTAGGAACTATGACGTATGTATCAATGCGGTAAATGGTACTTAGAAATTGGACTTTTGAGCATAGGTGGATCCAAGGGGGCGGGGGAATGGGCCTTTCGCCTCCCCTCCCCCTCCCCCTTCCCCTCCCTCCACACCGCCTCAACGGTACAGATAGCAGTGCTAAAACTGTAGAAAACCCTGTCTCGCACCCCCGGTCCCAGCCCCTTCCCCCCTCAAGACCTTAATTTCCTCCTTCCCGTCTCTGCCCCCGCTCGTCCTCCCTCCCCTCTCCCTGCTCGCCCGGACGTAGGAAGCGGCCCTGGATTCGCTGTGCTTTCGAGTGCTTTCACCTCTCATAGCGGAGAAGCAGTGGGCGAATTTTGATTTTCAAATTTCGATGCATAATAAGTGGGCAGTGAGGGGAGAAGCGGGGTAGAGGGTGACGACGAAAAGGGAGGGGAGAGGGGCGAGGGGCGGCAGTTGGGACAATTGGATATGCCGAAAAGTGAAAATTTTTTTTTTGAAAATAATTTATATTGCAGCTAGTACTGTTTGCGGAGCTGCGTATGTCACATATTGATTTTATGGATGATACGAACACTGTAATGAGGCATAAATTCCTGAAAAACTGGAATGATGATCGTGATGCACTGGTCTATCCACCATCGTCGGGCCGCTATTCGGTGTACACCGGTGCCGATATTGTTGATCAGTTTGCTTTCGTGGTCGTAGCCGTAAGCTTTTAAAATTGCAAAAAAATTTACTAAAAATTTTAAAATTTCAAGAAAAATTGTTTTTAACAAATTTATCCCACCCTTCGTTTTAACTTTCTCTCTCTCCGGCCATTCCACATTTTGATTTCTTTGGACC